AGGGTTAGGACATGAATTATGGTCCAGCAAAGGAGACTGAGCTGGGGGTCAGCCAGGGAGGAGAAGAGTTAAGAGAGGGGGCAACTTTCTGAAAATACAGGGAGGAGAGAGTATGCAGAAGAAGGGCGTGTCAGACAATTTAAATGGAGGTTAGAAAGGATGAAGACTGAGAAGAGCCATAGAATCCGCTAATTAAAAGTCTGTGGTTTTCCATAGTTACCTAAAGGGAACCAGTAAATGCACTGACCTTGGGTCAGTACACCAGGTACCTTTGAATATACCCATCATGAGCGTGTTAGCTCAGGATGAAAGCAGGGCTTGGCAGAATTCTTTTGGTGCCTGCAGTAGCCCTCTGGTATCACCCGTCATTCTGGTGGTTTGTCTACCTAGCCCTACCTACTGGAAAAAGGAACCTGGTCCTAACAGTCTGCATTGCCCACAGACATCTTCCCCAGCCTGTCCATACCTAGCAGACACTCTCCTTCTCAGAGCATTTCCTTGGCAAGCGAAGTGACCACTCTTTCTGAATATACTTGACTTCAATTAGCATGAAACGGGGCCTAGATTGTCCAGAGTGTGGTGCAGGTCTACCCAGGAGGTCAGAGAGAGACCACGGGTCAGAATGGAAAGGGAGCTGAATCAGAAGATTGCAGAGAGGACCTGGAGATGTGTTAATTTGCCTGCTTGACTTAGATAACTCTGTTATTTTCTGATTATTAAAAGGTAAGCAATTAGCATTCCCTTTTCCCACTTTTTCTGGTTATTGTTGTGCCAGCTTTTCCATATAGGGTACAATCCTACTCTGTGTCAGCATTTTAATGTTTAAAAAAAGTGCTAATTAGATACTTAGGAGTGTCACGACTTTTCTGATTTAGGCATTTAAGACTGTCTGGAGTTCTGTCTCTAGAAGGCCGAGATGTCGTCAAGGTGTTCCTGTGGCTAGTTGCTATCCCTACATCCGTACATAATTAATCTGGTGCTTAGCAACTTCACTTCTCGTCTGTGGGGTACCATAAATACTGAAAGTAATTATTTGCCTGATAACCCCATGCTAATTAATTGTCCATGAACAAAGCAAACTCTTTAGAGGAAAGATCATTTTCTGTGACTTGACAGTTTATATTAATGTTTGACATGATTTTTATAACTCAGTTTACATAAACATCAGTTAACATTTTTGCTTGCTGTATTAAATGGAACTTTTTTCTATTTCATCAAACTACATTTGAGCCATTTTAAAGGAAAGTATGAGGTATTGATTTCTTGGTTACAGAAACAAATTTCATGAGCACATTACTGAATGTGAATTTTCTCAGACCCCTCCCGCAGCACCACTGATGGTGTAAGAGCTCCCAAGAAACTTCTTATCTACAATTCAGAGCTGGGCGGCAGGGAGAGGGAGAGAGGGGGGAATGATATGGAAAATAGAGCCATATTCTTGCTATCCTGCAGGTTCTGAGCTAGCTGATTTTTCTAACTTCATGAATTTAAATGAAATTTATATCATAGAAGTTTGAAATCCACAGAAGCAATTAGTAATTTTTGATTCATGTTTTACTAGATAGCTAGATTAAATCTGATCAATTTTGTACTGAGAAGATAAGAATTCTGATGAAGGGAGGGTGAGAAAAATCAATGCATGCAAAGTAGCCAAATAGATTAAAAGAGTAATTAACTTATTGATTAAAACTTAAGAAACAGATAGCAAACACCTCTCTGAACCCTCTTCTAAGATTAAAGAGAAAATTAGAATTAAGTGCTGCATTTTTTAAAGGCTCCAGCTGTGCCAGATTGCTTTTGTTTGTTTTTTTTCCCCTATCCTTGCCAGTTTATCTATAGTAAAAGCAGATATCTCTATTTTGTGGGAAAATGAAGAAACAGAAAGAATAAATTTGGTTTTCAGTATTTGATTTTGTTTCCATTCTATACAATCAGTGATGGTCATTTCAGAAGAGAAGAATTAGATAACAGTTACCTTTTCTGCTCATGAGACATTTTCTGTGAATTTTTTGGTGACCATAAAAGGCCAGCCTAGTATGGAAATTATATATTGACATACTCAAATGTTTTAGTGGTTCTTCCCTGTCTGCTCCTGTGGTTCTGCACTATGGGTTGTGAACAGTGGTCTCCAGAGCTCTTCTCTGACTTGGTGGTTTAGGGAGTTTTGTCTGAGGACAAGGGGTCTTTGCTGTTTGCAGCCCACCAGTGGACTCTCCTGGTGTGACCTAAGAACTTACTTAGGCTAGTATTTCAGTGATTTCTTGTCAGAGAAGTACCCCTTTCTCAGTGGTCCCCTGGGCTGTTGTCACACTAGAATGGCTCCTCAACAAAGAGAAGTGTGGGGACCACTGAGGCAGGGGTCCTATCTTTGCTCAGATGACAGCTCCTGCTGTTTCTAGTGTGGTCAAGTTTATCGAGTGCTTACCTGGTCATGGCATCCTTACAACAACCCTATGGAAGATATTCTAGATAGGAACTCCAGATGTTATTACCTCCCTTTTACTGATGAGAAAACTGAGTCTCAGAGAGGTTAAGTGATTAACTCCAGAGCCCAGAGCTGGTGTGCGTTAGAAAGGGGTCTGTAGAAATTGATTCCAGTTTCTTCCTGGCACCAAGCCCAGCATTCTTCCCATTTTAGCCCTGTAGTCTCTACTGTAATTATCATTTAGATGTTCGGCAAATCTGACTCGGGAGTTTCCCATGTAGTCACCAGGTCTTCTCTTTGAAATGTCCTCACCTGATATAAACTGCTTTTTTGTGCCCCTCACTTCAGAATGATGTCTTTGGAAATTTTACATTGACATGCCTTGGACACTTGCCATACGTTCATCTTATTCTAAATTATCGTTTAGTTTGTATGAAGCTGTGGTCTGAAGATCCAAGATTTTTGTATTAATATCTAGATGTGATCATACAGGTCTCTTTAGTTTAATTGACGTTCCATGTGCATTTTCAACAGAGCATTAGAATCCCAAGTGATTGAAGGTTCGTGTCAGTATTTTTCAAAACATGGTCTGTACTCTGAAATGCAGTGTTCCCAAACATACCTTTGATGTAAGAGAGATTGATATCTTTGGTGAAACACATTAAAACATGTATATTTAATACCACAGTGTTGCTTCATTCATGTTATTCCTCAGAGCCACACTCCTCTTCATTCAGGTGGTCCTGTTTGACTCTTCCTTCTGCTCTTGCTGCCATTGGGGTGCCAGTAGCATCATGGGCATAGCCACCCTTTCCCCATGGCCGTGGGCTTCACTAAGGCTCACAGAATAACCAAGAACCTGATGAAGCCTGGGCAGTGTCCAAGCACACCAAGTTTGGGAGAGCCATGAGGTGAGAGTTTGCCTCCCAGAAGAAATAGGGAGCCAAGGTCTCCAAACAGAGGCAGCTCTGAAATTCAGTTTTAGAAAGGGTGGGAACATGCATCCTGTTCAGGATAAAGAGAGAAGAGCCTGGCAGTGTCCTGGCTACCAGAAAGTGTCAACCACTTCTATCCTTCCACCCCTACTCCCTTCCCTAAAAGAACTGACAGATGGGGCTGGGGCTGGGGCTGTCTCCTGCTACTTCACATCTGCTGTCTGCTCACCCTCATCCGTTCTAATATTGAACACACGTTTGGTGCTTAGTCCTTGTAAAGTGCAGTGAGGCGTGGGGGAGGAGGGTAGAAAGTTTAGTAACCACACTGCCCCCACCCTCAGTCCCAACCGACATTCTTCCACATATATCTGTATGGTACAGAGTAGATTATATGGGATGGCCTGAGTGTTAGGGTGTGCAGAGTGCTGGACGTGGCTGGTAAACCTGGATTCAAATCCTGCCTGTGGGATGCAGAATAAATTGCATAAAATCCTGTGGAGACAGGAGTGAAATTTGTATTGAACTTTAATGGATGACTAAAAAGTAAAAAGGGAGGGAAGGGGCAGTTGATTAGAAGGAAGAGAAGGAAAAAGGAAAAGAGAGATTAGATGGCAGGCGCCATGAGTCAGAGCCATGGTTCCTGAACTTTGTGGTCTCGAGACTTTTATACTCTTAAAAATTATTGAGGACTCCAAAGAGCTCTTGTTTATGAGGGTTATATTGATCAGTGTTCACCATATTAGTAATTAAACTAGATACATTTAAAAAAGTTATTTCATTTAAAAACAATAGTAATAAACCCATTGCAGCTTAACTTATTATTATTTTTATGAAAAGTAACAATGTTTGCCAAAACAGAAAATTAGTAAGAAGAGTGAGGAGGGGAGGGAATAAGCATTTAGATAGTGCCTACTATTTGCCAGGCACTGTGTTAAATGCCTTACAGATATCTCATTTGATTTGAAGAGCAGCATTATTTTACATATTTTTGCAATTCTCTTTAACGTCTGGCTTAATAGAAGACAGCTGGATTTTCATATGTGCTTCTGTATTCAGTCTCTTGCAATATATTGTCTTTGTTAAAGTATATTAAGAAAATCCAGCCTCACATGGATATGTACTTGGAAAAGAGAGGAGCATTTTAATAGACAAATAACATTTTAGCATTATGATGAAAATAGTTTTGACCTCATAGATCTCCTGAAAAGGCCTTGGGGCTCCCCATGGGAATCCAGACCACACTTTGAGTACCACTGGGTTAGAGGGTAGTGAATATGTCAAATAGGTTCTGCTTTCAATATTTATGGGGTGGAGGAAGAAGTATTTCTTTAGGTTGTTCTGCCTTTTGGAGGGACTGGGGAACATAATGAAAAATGTATGCCCCTAGCATCTTTAGAAAAATTGATCATATGTAGCCATGTGTGATCAGGGAAGAATGCCCGAACATTGGTACTAGAAATGGTTTGATCTTACTTAATCATATCTTCAAGCACAAAAAGAAAGTGCCAACCACTGCAAAGTTCAGACTGATAGAGCATTCTCTCCCCTACCCATCCACCCTCAAATCTACCTATAGCTTATTTTTTTTTTAACATTTTTATGTTTTAACATATTTTTATGTTTTTTCTTTTGTCTTTAAGGCTGGAGGGATAGCAGGTGTCTCTGTTGACTTGATATTATTTCCTTTGGATACCATAAAAACTAGGCTTCAGAGTCCCCAAGGATTTAATAAGGCTGGTGGTTTCCGAGGAATCTACGCTGGTGTTCCTTCTGCGGCTATTGGATCCTTTCCTAATGGTAAAAGTTACATTGGCTTTCAAGCTGCTTTAAGCCTGAGATAATGGAATTTGTTTTCAGAGTGGCGGTGGTCCGGCCCCACGTATGATAACCTATTCAGGGTAATTTGTTGCATGGGTTGGCTTTTTATTCACCACCCCATTATTTTGGAATCAGTCAGTACCATAGATCTTGACCATTATTTTTATAATGCAAGAATTAGGAATGATGTTTTTATTTTTATTGAATATATATGTTTAATGCCCATAGAGAACATTACAGTCTTTACTGTATCCCAGGGTTGTTGTGAGAATCAAATGAGATAATAATTATGAAGTGCTTAGCACAGTGCCTGGCACATATAGGTGCTCTGTAAATGCTGGCTATCATTATGTAATATTGACTGCCATTTCTCACTCCTTGCTGTACAGCTGGTGAACCCAAGAGGCATTAAAGCCTACAGTGTTAAATTCAGTGATCATAATTAAATTGGCCTGAGGTGCTGTAACCATTTTTCTGCTAGCTATCTCCTGGATACTCTAGTCTCTTGATTTCATCTTGGGTATAAAGTCTCTATTGTGTTCTTTCGTGGGGTCTTTATGCTCTGATCAGTATCACCTATTTCATCCCAGCCACTTGTTAATAACACCACTTTCCCAACTTTTAATTGCTTAGTGATCTTTCCAGTGGTACCAAGAATTTAGGCCAGCCTCTCAAATGCTGTTTGGTGCTCTCCTTTCTCTTTAATGAATTCAGGTTAATTTCTTGTTTTTAATGTCCAGCTGGAGTTGTTGGTCATTTAAAGGCTTTGTATCTGACTGTTTAAAGATATGCAATTGGCCTACCTTAAATTATGGAAATTCCTTAGAAGTTTAAAGGAGGGATTTCTTTTGGGATTGCCCATACAATTTTCTGCACTAGTCATCATTCAGTTTAATATGTAGTGTTGGTCAAAAGACCTGTTCTCTGCCTAGTGTGGTCCTATAAACTGTGAGGAATATAAAAAGGTCAAATAAATGTATGTATATGTACACATATATATGTATATACACACTCAAGCATAAATATATAACTAAATATTTTAATTTGTAATATGGTAAATATCAATAGATATAACCCACATAAAACCTTTTTGGGGCCCTCAGTAATTTTTATGTGTGTGTGTGTGTATGTGTTTGACATTTTCATGATGTGGCCTTATATAAGGCTTCCTTCTCTCCTACCCAATAAAGATGGAGAAAACCAAGCCTGGGCATCAGGCTAAATCTTGAGAGCCATAAGTAACCCCACTGCTGCTACCACCAAGAAACATTTACCAGGTGCCTGTTATGCAGTGCAGGACACTGGGGTGGGTGCTAGCTATGCACAAGGGTTTTCATCGTTCATTCAGCAGTGCATTGGATAAATCCCTGCGTTCCAGAGGCTTAGATTTAGGAGGAGGAGCCCATAAGAAATTTTAGAGCCAGAAGAGAAGTTGGAGACATCCAGGAAAAGCGCCTTAATTTTTCAGATAAGGAAATTGAGACATGAAGGGATAAATGACTTACCCGAGGCCATGCAGGCTCCTGGTCCCCATAGCTTGAAATTCAGTTGTTAGTCTCTCCTCTGCTTCATCCATTGGGTTTATTTTCTGAAGTTCAGAAGGGACTTTGTTATGGGATCCCCTGGAAGATGCTCCTCAAGTAGCACCAAAAATAAATCTTGAGAATATTTGGAGAATTGTTTAAAACAAGTGAAGGAAAATACCTAGGAGCTTGTCAATGATTTCTGTCATCTGTCTTTGTTTTATTGGAGAAAAATGGGTCAGCGGCATCCCATTTCACCAGAAGAAGTTAAAAGGTAGACTGCGGGGTCTGTAAATTTGGTTAATTCAGTGAGTGAGTCAGAAGCGACAGACTTCACGGAGAACATCGAAGGAGAGCATTAACACCGGGAGCTGTTTGGATTTGGATCTGAACAGCTCTGAGCCCTGCTCTCTGTCACCAGGGATTGACCTCTTAGCAGCAATTCTGAGTCTTCCTTGCAGTGTGTTGCCCCTGCAAAAGCCTTGTTAACTATTGTCATTCTCAGATGTCATTTAGAAATGAGAAATTTGTCATTCTTTCTCATTTTGGTCTCTTATCTGTGTGGAGGTGATAATCATCTTGTGCTAACAGTACAGGCGTCTCACAAAGCCCTTCTGGGCCAGACCTGTGAGAGACGGGAACTTGGCCTGGATTTTTAGTTTCAAGTTCAGTTAGGTAATTTATTGTTCCCACAGTGTAAACTTAACTTTTAACTAATAAAAATAGCTGTAACGACCTTGAAAAATCTGCATTGTAACATTTGAGAATAAACTTTATTCTTAATTAAAACAAAAGGTTTCCTCTTTTGGATTTCTGCATTATTAGCACATCTTTTTTCATTTTATTTTATAGTGACAGTGATAGTTCGTATTTGTACAGTTATTGATGGAAAGAGGCCTGAAGGTCGTTTCGATTCCTTCAAGATCTGGTCGCATGTTCAGAGCAGCTTGGGCTTAGCTCCCAGCTTTGTTACTTAGAGTCCTTGGGCAAATCACTTCATCTTCTTGGCCTTGGGTTCCCCATCCCTAAAATGAGGGTGTTAGAAGACATAATACTTGACATCTCTACTAGCTCCAACACCTGTGATCTCCTTTGGTGCCTCCTCAGATAACAAAAAACTCTTTTGATTGGTTCAGTTTGGAACCCTGAGGCACTGAGTTTTCACATGGCTCTAAATGTCATCGTGCACTGGGGAAGCGGGATAGGAAAGTAAGAAGCATTTCTATAGTATTGTCTACTATGTGTCAGACATTGTGCTAGCAGCTTTTTTACAAAGTGTCTGAGATGGGGTTCAACCTCATGTTTTCCTAATAATAGTAACAGTACTCCTAACTGTGTGCCACACACTGTGATAAGTGCTTTACAGATATTATTTCATTTGATCCTTAAAGCAGCCCTGGGAGATAGATGACATTATTATCCTCATTTTACAGTTGAAGAAACTGAGGCAAACATTAAGTGACTTCTCCTAGGTCACATAGCTAGTAAGTGTCTGAGGTAGGATTTGAACTCAGATCTTCCTGACTCCAGGTTCTGGGTCACCTAGCTGCTGCTCATGGCAGAGTGCTCTGTAGAGAGCATTGTTGTGTTTCTTAAGGATGTGAATAAGTGTAGAACTTGGCATTAAGACAAGCTTGGTGACTGGAGTGTTTTCCCTTTCAGCTGCAGCATTTTTTATCACCTATGAGTATACAAAATTTTTGTTGAGAACTGACTCATCGTCATACTTGGTCCCAGTGACTCATATGTTGGCTGCCTGTGCTGGAGAAGTGGTAAGTGTCTCGTCTGCCCACGGTCAGTGTGCCCCGTGCAGGGTGCCAGGGATCAGCGGGGGCTGCTTGTTCAGGGTCTCACACGTGTTCATCATCGTGCAAGGGTACGGGGAGGAAGCAGGTGTCGTGTCTGACAGGGAAGCTGCCCGTGAAGAGCTCACAGTCTTCCAGTCTGACAAGGATTACTCATGTTTGCTTTTTTACATTAGGGAGAATGCAAGACTTTGAGGTGTAAGATGGCCAATTATTCACAGTGCAAGAGTTTTAAAGTTTCAGAGGTGGGAAAGATTGTTAGGGGTCTGGTTGGTGGAGATGGCAGTGCTTGGGGTGGCCTGGGAGAACAGTGCAGGAGGGGTGAGATGCAGCAAGGGACAGCTTGAAAGGAAACTTGGGTTTGGTGAATTGGGTTCAAATCCTGGCTGTTAGGTGATTTTCTATGGTCTTGAAGAGTCTGTTGTCCTCCCTCAATCATAGTTTTTTCACTTGCAAAGTGGGGAGTTTGGATCGAATGATTTCTGGGTTCCATGATCTCTTTAGAAAATTAGTGGGGAATTAGCATGTTGTATAGAAGGGATGGTAAGGAGAATGGCCTACCTGAAGGGAACACTAAAAATACATGCAGAATTTGTTATAACACGTTTCTTCCTCTTAAGGTAAGAAAGGTCACCCATGAAAGCAGGGAAAGCCTGAGAAAAGGCTTTCATGGGGATCACTTCTCTTTTTTATTTTTATTTTTTTAAAATTAAAAAAAAATTTTAGTTTTACAACAAAGTTATATAAATTTCTTTTTTCTTCTCCTCACTTACCCTCTGCCCTGGCCCTAGAGATGGCCACCATTAGACATAAATAGTTGTGTATATATATGTAAAGTCATTCTATACATACTGTTTATCAGTTTTTATCAGTTCTTTCTCTAGATGCAGATAGCGTCTTTCTTTGTACATCCTTTATAGTTAATTTGGGTATTTATAATATTCAGAATAAATTATTAGCTCAAAGTTATTCTTAAAACATATTGCTGAACATATACAATGTTCTCTTGGTTCTGCTCGTTTCGTTCTTCATTATTTCATGTAAGTTTTTCCATGTTTCTCCAAGATCTTCGAGCTCATCATTTCTTTTAGTGCAGTAGTGTTCCGTCACAACCATATGCTACAACTTGTTCAGTCATTCCCCAGTTAATGGGCGTCCCTGCAGTTTCCAATTCTTTGCCACCGCAGAGAGAGCTGCTATAAACGTTTTAGAACATATAGATCCTTTCTTTAGAGAAATGTAATGTAAAGCAGTTGACGTTTTAGATGATGTTTTAGATGAAAAGGTGCCCTGGCTAAGCACGAGCACAACATAAAACCACCAGAAAGGAGAAAGGGAAAAGTCAGACAGAGAAGCAGTTTGACGCCTCTCATCCCTCTCCTTTTCACTTTCGCTGTGCTGGTCCCTAGGATCCAAGGCACAGATGGAACTTTCCCCACCTGGGGAATCGCACATTCTACTGGGGGTATGACAGGTACACAAAGCAGGCAATAAGTGAGTAATTGGAGGAGGAAGAGAATACTAATGGCTAGGGGGCAGAAGGGTGGCAGCCCCTTCCATGGCGCCTCTCACCTGGGAGATACCCAGCTGCTTGTTGAGCTGAATTGAGCTACACCTCAAAGGAAGGTAACACTTCCCCCAGAGAGAGGCAGGTGCCTGTCAGGCACAGGGCACGTAGTCCTGGGGGAGGCACGGGACAGATGGAATGCCTGCAGGGAGGTGCCCGGAGAGGAGTTCATTTGGTCAGGTGTGTGATTGAGAGCAGTAACAACTAAGGCTGGAAATGTAGGTGGAAACTGAATTGTAGGCTTTCAGTGACAGGCAGAAGAAATTGTTTGATCATAGAGGTAGTGCGGAGCCTCTAAAGGCTTTAGTGTAGGGTCTGGTGACAGAGTGAAGCCTGTGCCTTAAGGGTGGGTGCCTGCCTTGGATGGCCAGGTGAGATTAGGCCGCCTGGGGCTGGTGCCAGGGTGAGGCCCGTGCCTTAGGGTGGGTGCCAGCCTTGGGCATATCACTGAGATGAGACTAGTTGACAGAGATGGTGGTTAAGATCTGGCAGAAAGTCTTTGAGACATTTCAGCATTTCATTTGGTTTTCACATTTCTAGGGAATAGAAAACTTTATAGGTTCATTATCGTAAAATAGAATTTTTGATTGAAGAAATCACCTCTGTAGTTGCTTGAGAGAAATGTCTAAACAAATTTACCTGAGAAACATTAAATATGTCTTTTGCCGTGGCATTTGGGAGAAAACTTATTCCTTTTGATATCAGTTTTAAGATGACTTTGCCAGAGTCTGAGTTGGCTTGTCACAGAGCTGTGGAATTTCCAAAATAAATGGTCTTCACACTGATTCCAGTAGTAAAAGTGATGGGAATAATAAGCCTCCTGTTACTTTATAGAATAGTTTTTTAAGGTAGCAAACAACAAAGCACAGGATTGGCAAAGAGGAGGTGTTTTTCTATGAGTAGCTGCCAAAAATAATTAAATGTTTGAATATGCAATTCTGCTGTGGTTAGTCAAATCATGGCACAGTTATCCTACATGTAAACATTTTAGTCCCTAAATTATAATTTGCTAACTTGTTCAATTTCAATTTAAAAGCAATTTTTGCTTCATATCTTCCCTGATTAACTTAGGTCTATATTCTGTTATATTTTTGTCTTGTAATTAGTAATATACTGAACTTTTTTGGGGGGGTGGGGAGGGGTGTAAGTCTTGTGTTTTTAATGTCTCAGTTTTTGAAATTTCTGTCCAGGCAGACTTTTTTCCATTCACTAAGGTTCACGTTGCATTGCCTCGTTTGAAGTGAACTGTCATAAATGCAGTGTGTTTTGAGTGTTTGTTTAAAGCTCATCTCAGTGTAATATGGAAAAAAAGCAAATAAAGTATTTTTTCCCCCATTTTCTCTGCTATTTGCTCCAGTTATCATCGTCCATGAAAGCTCGTTTGGCACGTTGAAGGAAACGCTTTCTTGCATTCATAAACCCTCTGTCCCTGAGGACTTGCCAGGAAATTCAGAGTGACACGCCAGGGGAGGGCATGTGGCAGCTCTTTAATTTCTCATGTCAAATGAGGCTTGAGAAGAAGTGCTGCTTCCTTCTTCTGTAACTGATGGGTTTCCTTGTGAACCTCATCACGTAATCTTGAGGGGGTTTGCATGTGGGCTAAATACATGGGGGGGAAGGGGGGATGGGCGGGAGCCAGAGATATAGATTATGGGAAGGGGTCCAGGCTTGGGATTATTTAGCCTTAGGAAAGAACCTGTCCCTGCTTTGCTTGGGCCTCAGGGTACAACCATTCCCTTGTCTTGCTATGCAGTGTTTCTTAGGCATCAAGAGGAATTCAAACAGGCCAGGCTAGTGGCGGCAGTGATTTCTAGGTTCCGTTTGTTCAGTCCCTGGTTGTGCATCCTGTTTTATTTAAAATGAACTGAAACATTTTGTAAACTCAAGAAAATTGGGTTGATTTCAGTTCTGAAACCCTTGAACTACCGGGATTTTCTCCCGAACCACCCTTCAGGTACTTAAGGTCAAATTCAGTGAAAAACCCCAGCCCCGTGAGGCTGGAGAGCTACATAGCGGAATGGATTGTTTCCTGCCCAATGACTGTCATTCCTACATGTTTTCCTCCTACATGTGTTGTTCCTGTGTGTGCACATGTCAGTAAATAAGATCAGGGACCATTAGTTACTAAATTTTTCCTAATAAGGTTTTGTTTCTGGCTTTGGGTCCATACATTTTGTATTCTAGTTTTAGGAGAAGATGGATACCAATCAGAAAAGCAGAAAAGGCTTAATTTTTTTGTAAGATGACTTAAGAATTTTCACAGAGAAAATATAATGAAATAAAAGCAAATATATTTGTAATTCTTGACTGTACCAGTGGCGCAAAAGCCATGTAAATGACAGAAAAATAACGTGTGGAAAAAATGCTGTCAAAAACTTGTCTTGTGATAAAATAATGACAATGCCGTCAAGATGCTGCCTTAAAGGCCATAATTTGTGGTGGTTCTGATTGTCGACTCTGCTTGGAGTTACTTTGTGGCACCGGCTCAGGCCTAGAAAGTGAGAAGAATAGGGACAAAATAATAACCATTCCCTATTGCAATCGCTTGATTAAAACTTAATGAGTAATCAATAAAACTATAATTACAGCAGTCTACCTTATGCCTGTAATTTGGAATATAGTAAAATCGATCAAATAAGATTTAATATGTGACAACAGCAAAAAAAAAAAAAAAAGGTCCCTTTTGTGCCATTTTTATGAGAAGGTTTGTTGTACCAAATCTCTAAATCCCCACCTCATTTATTTTACAGCTCAGTTTTCATCACACACAAAAAAAGCCTTGTGAAAAGTAGAAACTGTAATTAGATCAGAAGTGTTGGGGCATGCCTGCTTTAACTCCGTAAATGCTGGTGCATCTGGGGCTTTGGGGGAATTTTTTTGTTTTCTAAAGTACAAAGACATGGCTTACATCTTTACTGCAGACTACTTTCAGTAACAAAATACAGATAGTCCACAGTGGTGCTACGGCATTGCCAAAGAATGTGTACCTCAAAATGCGTAGCTCTCGTGGTGTGGCTTTGAGCTTTGGAGGCTTGTTATCAGTTGTCATCTCTGTCCTCAGCCCAAAGAAGGTGAGTTTGTAGCTCACACAATTTTTTTTTTGAAAGAAAATTTTAGCAGAAAATTATCACGTTAGTAATGGCTCAACTAGTTCAGAATAATAAAAAAAAATATTATAAATGGTGCTGAATTTGTGAAAGAAGAGATTTAATTGTTTTAAACCAAATTCATACAGTTAAATGAAGTCTTTCTTGTATGTAAACTTCCTCTTTCCACTTCCTTCCTGGATACCCTGACTCCAGGGACTTGGAGTGATTCTGACAGGCTTGCCCACCATAGAATAGAAAATCATGAACATTCCGTTCTCTCATGTTAAACTTTACTCTGCTTTGACCATTAC